CGTAGTTCACATTCCTTCTCTCTAGCTGTACATTCCGCTGTGCTACTTTCTGTCTCCCAACGGAGATACCCCTAACAGATATTAAGTTATATATAAACTGCTGGGTAAGAGAGAGAGAGAGAGAAGATATTTTCCACCAATATGCCGGCTTATGAAGTTCACTTCACAATCCCTTCCTGATACGAGGAAGCTCCTGTAGGAAGTTAGGACCCACTCCTCTCCTAGGAAAATGAAATATTTTAGGAAATATTAAAAAGGCAGAATATTACATTTCCCTGGATTAGAAATGAAAAAAATATATATCCCTTATCTGTACTCCCTTCCCTGACTTGGATTGTGAGCCGCCCTGAGTCCCCTTCGGGGAAAAGGGTGGCATATAAATGCAATAAATTCAATTCAATTCAATGTTTTTAGCTAGGAAACAGACTCTATGTCTATTCTTAGGCAAATGCCCTCACCTGGGAGCCAAAACGGGTGGGAGAGGACCCCTGGAAGGGGCGAGGCAGGAAGGGTTGGGGCCAGTCAGAAATTTAATAACCGGTTCACCTGAATCAGCCTGAACCGGCTGAATCCCAGCACTGGGTTGTTGGTTTTCAAAATTACAAGCAGGTAGAGTTTTCCAGAAAAATGAAGCTTTCATCCCTGTTTTTCTTCTTTTTCATTGGAGGACCTTTAAAAAATGGCGCTGGCAATTTTGACAATGGAATAAATTGTATAAAGAGGCTTTACCTGACAGTCCTATAGATGGAGTTCTTTTGTGATGACTACCTTCTTTCTTCCTAATATAAGTGCTCCTGATCAAAAGCTTATGATTTATGATGAATGTATTTTTTAAGATGACTGTGATCATGATTTATCGCTTACAGCTTTATGTACAATGAGGGCTTATGCAACAAAGACAAATTCCTTGTATGTCCAATCACACTTGGCCAATAAAGAATCTTGCTCTGTTCTGTTCTATTCGTAATCTTTGAATTTGTTTCTAGAACCACAAAGAAGGAACTCTGCCTTGGTTACTGCTGAAAGGAATTAAAGACTGTACATCGATCTGATAGTGATTGAGAACCACAATTGAGCATTGATTCTTACCATCACAGTTAGTGATAACATTAAAGGACATTAGCCCGCCCTTCTATTGTTAGAGGGACTCTCCTGGATATCAAAAGCATTAACTCAAGTGCTGTGAGCCTCTGAGTAATGAACCTTTCCTGGTTTTCTTTTAAAATATCTATGATTACAGAAGAGACAGAAGTTGGAAGCCAGCTGGATCACTGGATCTTTATGTGACCTGATGGTTTAAAGCATCTAATGAAGCCTACTTCGGATGTCAGCTACAGCTCACCAAAAAAAACCTATTGCTTTTAATAAACATTCTTAGCTGAAAAAATGCTACTCGACTCCAGATTTTGGAATACCAAAGGCCAGCTCGATTTTTCTCCTATGATGAAATCTTTACACTTGGCAAAAATCAACCCAGGAGTTTCCCCAGAAGGATGCCAGAAAGAATTGTGATGATGAGCCCAAACCATCTGGGTATGGAATTATTAACACCCCCAGAGTTCCCTTGAGTTAGGTCATTCCATTGGCCAACGGTGGAGACTTCCTGTTGGTAGATTGAAGAGTCTGGTGTGCATTGCATAGCGTGATGTCCACTGTTTACAGGAGCCATGGCTTCATATCCAACCAGACTATCACAGAGAGCTCTGTTTGCACATCCCTTCAAGCTGACCTCCAGAAGACTTATATCTGTAGAGAAAATGAAAGGGATGAGTGCAGTGGTGGGATTCAATTTTTTTTAACTACCATTTATGTGGGCGTGGCTTGGTGGGCATGGCGTGGTGTGTTGGGCATGGCAGGGGAAGGCTACTGCAAAATCCCCATTCCCTCCCCACCCCACTAACCTGCTTTCCAGCTCCCCTCTCCTGTTCAGGTCAACAAAAGAAGATCAGCTGGGAGGCTGGGAGGAAGTGAGGGTGGGGCCAGCCTATTTTCCGGTTCTCCAAAATTGTTCAGGCACCGAACCGATAGTAATGCCAGCAGGAACCACCACCACCCGCCCACAACCAACCAACCAAGGCTTTGGCCAATGTATGAACTCAACCTGGAGGCTTCTAAGACAGCCTTCCTCATGGAGACTTCCATTGGAAATCTTGAGCTGGGGATCCGTTCCTCTTGATCGAGGGACGTTGTCATCCAAAATCAGGCTAACGTAATTTGAGGAAGGTTGACCTAAGTAGATAATTAATTACCCAGAAGTCCTTCGGCACAGTACAGCTCATCTCCAGTGCAATTCGTAAC